CCGCCTGGCTTGCCAACCACCTCGCCCTGCGAATATGCGGCCGTGGCGGGCGTAGCGGTGCCCGGATGCCATCTGAGCCATCCTAAGCGTCGCCCGCTCACCGCCACCGCGGCGCCGGCGGCGGCGCGCCGCGCCCTGGGCCAGCGCACCCTTCGCTCCCCGCCCGCCTGACCTGCCCCCCAGCTGTGCACGCCCGACAACCGACCGGCCCCACCCTCGCCCCTTCCCCCGCCCCTGCCACAACACCCAGACACGGCGAGGAAAGTAGAGGCCCTTAGCTCAGCCCTCGGCGTCCGAAAGAGCCACGTCGCCTCCCTATTCCGCCAGCAGCCCGCGCTCGCCGCCGCCCCCGCCGACCAGCTCGCCGCGCGCGTGCGCCGCGCCGCCGAGTGCCTGTGCGTGCCGCCCGTCCAGGCGCTCGTCATGGCGGCCCGCAGCCCCGCGGCCGCGGCCGCAGACCCTCTGGTGCTCCGCCGCAAGGCTGAGCGGCTCGCAGCGGCGCTGGGGCTGCCCGCAGAGCAGGGCATGTTCTTGGCGGCCCGCCAGCCCGCGCTGCTCGAGTACGCCCCCGAGTCCGTCGCCGGCGACTGCGCGCGCCTCGCCGCGTCGCTCGGCGCGTCGCCGCCCGGCGTGCTGCAGCTGCTCTCGCGCGTCGGCGCGCGCGAGCTGCGCGCGCTGCTCGGCGCAAGCGGCGGCATGCTGCGGGAGCAGCTGATCGACGTGCTCGAGTCCCTGGGCCTTCCCGCCAGCAGCACGCGCGACCTCGACACGCTCCGCATGGTTGCGAAGAACCCCGGCCTGCTGTGCGCGCCGCCGGCGCGCGTGGCCGAGAGCTGCGAGGCGCTCGTCTCCGTATTCCAGGCCGCGCCGGCCGCGTTTGTGCACGTGCTCAACCGCTGCCCCAGCCTGCTGACCTGCGACGCGGGGGAGATCCTGGCAAACTACAGAGGCCTGGGGCGGCTGCTGGGGCTGCCGCCGCCGGCGATGGCGCGGCTGCTGGCGGCGCAGCCGCGGCTGCTGCGGTGCCGGGCGGAGGACGTGCAGGCGAAGCTGGAGGCGCTGATCTACGACATGTACATGCCGCGGGAGCAGGTGTGTTTGTGTGTGTGCATCTGTGTGTGCATTTGTGTGTGCATGTGTGTGTGTGCATTCGTGTGTATGCAAGAATGTGTATAAGAGTGTGTGAGTGTGTGTGAGAGAGAGAGAGAGAGTGTGTATGTGTGTGAGGGTGTTTGTGGGCAGAGGTTGGGGGTTGGGTGTGGGGTGCGAGCACCAGGCGTGCAGCAACGCCGGCGCGCTCTGCAACGCGCCGTCGGCTGCGGTTTCAGGGCGCCCGCGCGCCACCGCTCCCACGCCCCTCTGCCTCCTGCGCCCCCCCCCCCCCCCC